ACCCTCTGAGTTCCGTTTTTTGAGTACCCAAAAAACATAACGCAAATAGCACCAGGAACGCAACAACTTAAGACTGATTCAGGAGCTTGCAAGAATGGATCAATCACAATAGCCGGCCAAGTAGGGTATCTCTTCCCACATTTAGCCCAAATTATATCACCCAAAGCAAAATCCTCTGGCTTATACACATCTTTCCTTTTTTCAGCTCTATTTTTTCTTAACCTCTCTATACCCTTATATCCATTATAAGGCACAAGCTCGTCTGTTTCAAGCAATGCCGGAGAAGAATTCAAATAACTTTCGTAATTGCAACTACTATTGATCCCTGCATAAACCATTCCTCTTTCCTCTCTTCTTTTACTAATTAGATATAAATCCGAGCTTCCATATCCAAACTTATCTTTCATATATCCTGACCCATCAAACTCATCGTCCTCCAAGCTCGAGTCCGTGTAATCGACCCTGAGTTTTCTACTTTTCCATGAATCAAGAACGACATCGTTGAATCTAGAAGGAAGTATTTGAGTTCTTCCTCTAGATGATTTCAACAAGGGAGGCTTCAAATTCTTCTTGTAACTCTTTTTAGCTTGCTTTGCCTTATTAAATTTCCTTGAATTAGACTCCAATTCACCGGCCCGGTACGACTCCTCGCTGCTCCAATAGCCCGCGCTATTGAAATCTTCCAAGTCGCCGTAGGAATAATAACCGTTCGATTTCAATCTCTTGGGGTTACCGTCGTAATCGTAATATATTTCTTCTTTCACGCAGCCACCGTAGCTCTCCCCTTCAATCTTGCACCGTTTCATACTCGGCATTTCAAGATTCCCGTTCCGTTTAATTATCATCTCTATCAATATACGCCCGTCAATCAAAACCCTGATTTTCACATCGAATCAAAGCCCCGTCGCGCTAAATTTAAATCGACGGTCTCACAAGCCAAAACCAAGCCCAACCGAATCCAATACTGAAACCCTAAAGACCGAACAACCCCCACAACAAAACAACAATAACAGAAGGAATCTATAAAATTCGCACGTTCTTCCCGCGAATCTTCAGCGTTCCAACCAGAAGAAAATTCGAATTTCCATCCACGTTGATGTGAATTCTCACCTGTTATAGACAATGAAATAGGGCAAGATGTTGTAACTTGTAAGGTTGGGGGATTAAGTGAGTGGAGGCCAAAACTACGCAGAGAGATTAGTTTATCTTTAATGGGTTTGAATAGCAGGGTTAAGGGGCCGATGGGGTAATATAATATCGGTTAAAATGTAGGCCTTGGCGGGATGGCGACGTGTTTTGGCTCCAAATACTGGGCAAGACGGAGGGAGATTGGAAAAGTAGCAAAATTTGTGGCTCCTGGTGACGCGCTAGACCAAATTGAAAAAGTGCGGCTATTGGCTTGAATTTTAGAATTCCCATAGTATATCTTCGTCGCTTTGATTTCACAAAATCGGATTGGTTTTTTAATGGGTAAAGTACACGAATGGTCACTTGACTATATGGTACAGCTTTATCAAGTCCCTCGAATATCAAAAGTTATAAAATGGTCACTTGACTATTCATTATATTCCAAACTCGTCATTTTCTGTTAAAAACTTGACAATATTCTGAGTTGAACGTTAACTTGTTGACTGTGATATGATAAAATTTAATCTCATAATCTCAAATGACTATCACATCTCAGTCATCATGTTAACATCGAGCTCGAAAAATCGTCAAATTTTTAACGAAAAATACGAGTTTAAAACATAATGAATAGTAGGGTGACCATTTTATAACTTTTGATAGTCGAGCGACTCAACAAAGTAACACTCTATAGTTAAAGAAAAATTTTGTAACTTTTAATAGTTGAGAAACTTAATAAAGTAGTTCCATATAGTTAGAGGACTATTTGTTTATTTTACCCTTTTTAATTAACACAATATTTAGAGTCATATTCTTTAAAAAAAGACGTAAATTACGAATTTAGTACATAAACTATCAATTTTAGTATGTTTTAGTACCTAAAGTTTCAATTTTTTCAAAATCATACCTAATGTTTAGTTTTCATTTTATTTTAGTACCTTGTCGTTAAAAAACTTAACGCATTCAGTACATAAACAATAAGTTTTAGTCTGTTTTAGTACCTAAGCTTTTAATTTTTTCAAAATTTAATGTTAAATTTTGAACGATATGCTAAAATGAAACAAAAACTACAGTTTTTAACGACGTGTACTAAAAAGAAATAAAAATTAAACTTTAGGTATTATTTTGAAAAAAATTAAAAATTATATTAAAACGGACAAAAACTGATAGTTTATATACTAAACACAAAATTTGCCCTTAAAATTTTAGTTTCAAATGTTAAAGGCAATTCGACAAATAAAAATAGACGATTAAAATTAATAATATTAGATGAGAAAATATTTTCTTAAAAAATAAATAAATAAATGTATCTATTTCTACTCTTCCAAGAGTCTTGAAAATGTAAACTAAGTGTAAGTGGATCTTAACTATTATAAAGGCGTGATCCCTTCGCATTTTGTAAAACTCTGATATAATATTAAAATTATGCCTCAATGTTTACTAAAATCATCATTTTAGCTCTTTTTCTCTTGAAAGATTTTGGTCCCTACCTTTTCATTTTAGTACGATGTTAATAGATCCGAAGAAAAGGGACATACGTCTGAACCGATGGTCTAAAATAAGTATCAGAGAGATGTTGATCATGCATTGCAAACCTGAAGAATGCTAAGCACGAGCACGACGATTCCGATGCCATTATGTGCCGGAATATCGGCGTTCATGCTTTGGTAAAGTTGTAAAGTCCAAGGATGAACCCCAGAACTGGATCACGGCATGGAGATAATACCAGAGTTGACTTTTGTGCTTTAAGTGTCCTGCAACTATTGCACCAGCAGGAAGGAATAACCCCCATCCTAATAAACCCAGTGTCCCATGGTTCTTCCTCTGGTTTATGTCTATGTTCGTAAAAGACGCTGCAAACGGAGTCGGTCCATCATATAATGCATCTTTTGAAAGAATGATGAACTAATAAGAGTTAACATACAAGCAAACCTTGAGAGACGTCGAACCAAACGGCGGTCTTATCGTCCATGATCGTAACAGACGATGTTCGAATTTGGCATTACATGCCAAGTAAATTATGGCCCCATGAAGGGCCACAGCGGGTGGAATATTGTTAAGTGGCAATTCACCCTTATCAGCTATGACTTGGTATGCATGTCTACCTTGCAAGTAGAATTGTTTGATTCTTGCATGACCTTCTCTGTTAAACCATCCCGCCGTGGCACTCGATCCCAAGCATCATCCCGTTCCTCAAAAAACCGATCCCTACCCTTCCGGTTATATAGACTGCCGATAAAACTATTGTCACCAAATTGTATGATCTCTGATAATACTGCATACACAGGTAAGCAATGAGTAGCTTAGTAAATGAATTGGCTAATGGCTAGTTCATGTAGAGTTGAAAGAAACAGCTTACCCTCAAAACCATGTTATTCCATATAGGCGAGCAAAATATATTGGAAGATGATATATATTTTTTTCATAGGAATCTTACTATTTTATATTCACCGATGAACCGATGGATATTGTCTTTATTTTGTGACTTATAATATATATACAGTGTTTTGAAAACCGAACTGGACTGACCAATTCAACCCGGGAATTGCTGTCTTGTCTGGTCCATTCTATCCCGGTTGAACCGGTTCTAGTAAACCGCAAGGAACCATTTGAACCAGCTTTGAACCGCTCGAAATGGACCGGACCGTGAACCGGTTCAACCTAATTTTTTTTATTTTTTATTAAATATTTTTGGTATTTTTATTTAATTTTTTAAATAATTATGACGTCGTCCGGTTCTTACGACCAGCCTAACCGGTTCGATCGATTGAACCAGTGAATCGGTAGCATGGCCGGTTCCCTGACCGGTCCGGTTATGAAAACCATATATATATATATATGGATTAAGATCCATCTACACTATGTAAAACTAATAAATTTTATATCAATTTATAGTCAGTAGATTCAAATAAATAAATGACTTAAATTTAATTAAAATTTATAATTCATAGATAAATATTTCTTTTAACTCACAATAAAATGATATTTTATAGGGTTAAAATTTAGGATATGAGTTTAAGATTTAAGTTTCATAATTTAAGATTTAGAGTTTATGATTTATGATTTATAGTTTGGGAGTTGAGGCTGGGGTTTTAGGGAAAAATATTAGTTTATTACAAGATAAAGAAATATTTATTTATAATTATAAATAAATCATTTAGATTTAATTAAAATTTATAACTCGTAAATAAATGTTTTTTTACTCGCAATAAAATATTTTTTATTTTTAGGGTTAGAGTTTAGGATAGTTAGTTTAATCTTTAAGCTATTTATAGTTTGGAATTTAGGGTTTATGATTTGGATTATGATTAACTTAGGGGATTTAGGGTTTAGGGTTTTGGAGTTTATGACTTATGATTAGGGTAAAAAGAGATAGTGTTTTATTGTGAGTTTAAAGATATTTATTTGTGGACTATCAATTTTAATTAAATCTAAATTATTTATTTATTTAAATACAATGACTGAAAATTAATATAAAACTTATTAAAAACCTATTATCTTGATATTTTAATCTCATTATGTGCTTAAAAAAATTTGGTGAAAAGTCAATTCTACCATTGTAAGTTTACAAGCTACCTATAAAAGGGAGACGGCTCTTCCACGCGTCGTCGTCGTCTTCACTTTAGCAAAGAGCTAATTTCCTCATAACCATCGTGCTCCCCAAAAAAGCAAATTTGAATTCCTTAGTTTGATTTCTCGCTTCAAAGCTTCACTTTCTTGCTTCCTCCTCTCTTCAGTTCTTCCTTCTGGTAAGAATCCATATTTCGTTTTATATATATATAAATACATTTTCCCGCTTTCCGTTTGTTCATAGTTTACGTACATCCAATCCCTAAACCATAATCTTAGAATGAAGATGAATTGAGCTTTGGGTTCCTTAAGTTGTTCGTTTCTGGTGCCTAGTGTTTCGTTTTATTGGGCTTGGGGTATTCTCCCTGGGCCTGAATTGTGTGTGTGTGTGTGTGTTTTTTTTATTTCTTTTCTCGTTTGGATAGTGTTGTTAGATTGCAGAACGGAATGAGGCAACTATTGTGAATTTGTACAGAGTTAGTATAAGTGTTTATAATGTTATCTTTCTAGATTGTTGAGAACTCTTCGTTCTTCAACAGTTCACTGTTAAAAAGATATCGTCCGCTGGTATTGCGGTTGTTCCGGTTCCAAATGAACCTTTGACTACTACTCCTAGTCATTTGAATCTCGATTTGGATCATTGCGGGAGTGAATCTATTTGGGTATATTTGGCGTTTTCTGGGTCCATGATTCCCATGCGGATTTTGGAATCGGATTCTATCAAATCCTTGAAGCTGCGCATCCAAACCTGTAAAGGTTTTGTTGTGAAGAACCAGAAGTTGGTTTGTGGAGGTCGGGAGCTAACACGGAGCAATTCCCTTGTTCGTGACTACGGCGTCAACGATGGGAATGTTCTACACTTGGTTCTTAGGCTTTCTGATCTTCAGGTCATTAATGTTAAGACTCGGTGCGGGAAAGATTTTACATTTCACGTCCGGAGAGGGCGTGGATGTAATGTTGGTTATGTGAAACGGCAGATTGCTAAGAGAGAGAAAGGGTTTACTAATCTTGATGAGCAAGAAGTTCTTTGTGATGGGGAGCGATTAGAGGATCAGAGGCTTATTGATGATATAAGTAAGCATAATGATGCCGTGTTGCATTTATTGGTCCGAAAATCTGTCAAAGTTAGGGCTAAACCAGTTGGGAAGAGTTTTGAGTTGTCGATCGTGGCACCAGCATTGACAGATAAGCGAGATGATGATCTTGGTGAAACTGATGATAGAGTGCAATATGGTATTGGTGGTGGAGAGAATTGTAGCAAAGGATATGAAGTTGATAGACAGGTTGTAACAAGGAAACCTCCTGATAGGAATTTTATATTGGAGCCTGTTATTGTTAATCCTAAAGTCGAATTGCCCTCAGTGATTGTGGAAATGATTAACTCCACATTTGATAGATTACGTAGTGGAAAAAGTCCAATCAGGTCTATGGAGGGTACTAGAGGAGCCTATTTCATGCAGGATTCATCAGGCCAAAAGTTTGTTGCTGTTTTTAAGCCAATTGATGAGGAGCCTTTGGCTGTTAACAATCCTCGAGAACTACCAATGTCACCAGATGGTGAAGGGTTGAAAAAGGGTACAAGAGTCGGAGAAGGAGCATTCAGGGAAGTTGCTGCTTATATTTTGGATCATCCTAAGAATAAGCGAAGCATGACATATGGTAATGAGAAGGGTTTTGCTGGAGTCTGTTCGCATAGTGGGTTTAACAATCCTAATAATTCACCAAAAGTCAAGATTGGGTCATTGCAGATGTTTGTGGAGAACAGCGGAAGTTGTGAGGATATGGGTGTTAGGTCTTTCCCAGTCGACCAAGTACATAAAATCTCTGTTTTGGATATAAGGTTGGCTAATGCAGATAGGCATGCTAGGAATATTTTAATGAGCAAAGATGAAGATGGGCAGACCTTGCTGATTCCTATTGATCATGGCTATTGCTTGCCTGAAAGTGTAAGTTAACTTTCCTAATATGTCTTAGTTTCCTGCAAATTCATGCATGCCATCATTCTTTTTCTGTTCTTTTTGCTACTTTACACCCACATGTTTTATTGCTCTAGTAGGTTATAAATGTTAAAAACAATACTCTATATTTCACAATTAGTAGGTTATTTAACTTGCATCAGTTCTTAATTTAGTCTAGAGGCTAGTACACCGATAAAGTTATCATGATTCACTAATTCTGTTAATTTTAAATTGTCATCTAGCTAGCTGATTTATGCTGCCTGCACGAATACGTTTTCTTTTTTTTTCTTCTTTTTTTGCTGTGGAGTGCCTATGAGTGTCAATAAACGTTATTGTTCTTTCACAATCACAACATTGTAAAATTCATGTTATATATGTTTTTTGGTATTTGCAATCTTATTTTCCCATGTTATTTTTGTTTTGTTTTCAAGGCTAATCACTATTGTGGCTGTCTGTATATTTTTTTGCACATTTGACTGGTTGTATTGGCCTCAAGCTCGCCAATCTTACTCGCCCGAGATAGTTGACTATATAATATCCCTGGACGCTGAAAAAGATATTGCCTTTTTGAAATTCCTTGGATGGGATATGCCACCTAAATGTGCACGTACCCTCCGCATCTCCACCATGCTTCTCAAAAAGGGTGCAGCGAGAGGGCTGACTCCCTTTGTCATGGGAAGTATAATGTGCAGAGAGAACTTGAACGAGGAATCGGTGATAGAGCAAATCATACAAGAAGCAGAGGATCGTGTGTGTCCTAATGCAAGTGAAGCTGCATTTCTGAAAAAACTATCCCAGATCATGGACCACTGCCTTGATGAGATTGTTGCATCATTATAGTTTGTTTGATTTACATGCCTAACTCAAATGGTCTGCGTTATAAACCTCAACGATTTCGTGTAATTTTCCATCTTTTATGGCACTTAAGAAAAAACATCTTTAGGCCTCGATTCACGTTTATTGAACCGATTTTTTCAAGAATTCATTTATTGTTCTTCTGAGATTTGAAATGAAGACATGGTTTTCTTTTCATTTTATCGTTGCATGAATAAGTTCCACGTTTTAAGTTTGCAGCAACTGTTAATTAAGTTCATCATTTTGATAACAGAAGCATTCAAAAGATGCATAGATCGCCATTACATTTAGCCGGAGTAAGATAGAGTTTAACTTTACACCATAAATTAAGGTAATCAAATCATCATTGGCTCGAGTTGTTTCCGACCGATTACAGATATAGTAAGATACAACGGGGAAACCCTATAGGCTACACACAGTTTAGCTGATATATCAACGCTTAATCTTCAATCTTCAAGGAACCAGATATGGAGGACTATATACAACTTTTTTCAACTATAATAAAAGCTAAAAGCGCTTATTGTTAATAATGGAGAAGGCTAACGGCTTCGATATCCATACAGAATTCAAGAATCATCGACATAAACGACAGGCTATATCATTGGGTGTGCAGCAGGGGGCCATCTGTAACATTCTAACTACAAAGGTTGGGTATGCAGGCATCACCTTCTGGGTTTTGTTGTTCTTTCCATATCCGCCCCGTTATTCGCAGCTTCAACTCTTTCCTGTCCCCTCCGGAGAAGAAAAGCGCCATGTTACGCTGTATAATAAGGCCGTCATGGCTATCCCTAACCTTTCGGTGGCTCTCTCTTATGCTTCTTGGGGTGCCTTCCCAAATGAGTTTCCTTCCATTCCCCCCAACTTCTAGGCTATAACTGTAGTTGCGGGCTTCAATCTCGTCACCCATGAAACGAAGGAATGCCATGTAAACAGGGGCCATCCCGAGCTGAAAGGCTTCGAAATGAAGACAGAAGTACTGGCCAAAACAATGAAATACCTAAACATATATGACAAAAGATATGAACCATTTAGCATTCAGGAAAATCTATGAAGATTGTACAATACCATGGGACTTCAGGGCCAGAAGATCAAATAACTGGCAATGAACACATGAACAGCATATATTATTCATCATCTATATCAAAGCAGATTAGCAAGGGTTACACTTTTTCCAGTACATAGAATAAACAGCTCAACTGGTCACGGAAATGTCAACGCCGAATTAGTATACAGGAAAGCACCTAAGTATCCATTAGCATTATATATAGTTTATCATCACCCATCATCTATTAGTTCAGTTCTTAATCAGAACAAATATGCCTAAGAATGAGTGTACTTACAGTTAGCATCCATGTCGCATTTTCTACTTCCTGGGGATTAGACTTCACATAACGATGGTTAAATGTGCATCCAGTGTGCATGTCCACCTTGTGGTCATCCCTTAGATGAGCAACAAGGAACAGAATATTGCCAACAGCAGCACATTCTGATCCAGCATATGGGCAATTGTGTGGCCTGAAGTTGCAGAGGGCCTCATGTTTGAGTTTACTATAGTAGGGAAAGATCTCCGGGCATCCAAGTGAAGTAAATTTGCAAGGCAACTCAAGTGATTCGGCCACCTTCTCTAGTGCTAGACATCTAATATCCCCAAGCTCCTGTCTGCAAGTGGGGCACCGATTGTGCACCCTTGTTTTACAGGTTGAACAGAGGGTGTGCCCATTATGGCACTGTGGAAAAGCAAATTTTCAAATAATTATCATTATAAGAAACTATGTAGAGCAGCTCGATAGAAATCCGTACTAGCATTCAAATGCATTGAAAAACCCTAATGCACCAAAAAACAAATGGTTCAGAAAACGGAATCCGGTGTTTGACATGCGAAACTAGAGAAAACTGGCAGAACTTTTGGGCCACTTCCAGAGCAAAGCATACAAATATGGTTTTACCAGCACACAACAGAGGCAAACATAGAAACATGCACATGTAACTAACTAGGTATAAACATAATCTACAGATGCCAAAGTTCGTGCACCAACCCAACCCGAATGAGAAAAGAAAAAAAAAAGGCAGTTTTCATCCTAAGCATCAGCATTGGCTATGGCCATCTGCTTATTTAACCAGCCACCTGTTCCGTGTAAGCTAATGATATGTACATACACCCATGAAGGAGAAGAGAGAAAGACAAGTGACTATAGGTTTCATTATCATATTGAAAAGGATTCTCATGCGATGGATTAAAATCAAGGCAGTAGTGCCGGCATAGCCACAATTGAAATGGTAAAGTAGCTGTGTGTTGACAGCTGGCACCAAAGACCAGGTTCAAACCCTCATGACCAATTCTTCTCCAACCTGTAGTCTGCTTCTAACCCTAAATCTGTGAAAAGAATTTCTAACCTAAAAGAGCACAATCCAACACACAAGATTCAGCCTAAAAACTCAAAAGATAGCAAATTGACTGAAAAAAGACATTAAAAGGAAACAGATTTAAACCATTCAAGCACTCAAAGAAAAAGAAACTGACCTGATGGATCGGAGGGTACATAGAATTGGTACAAACAGGGCATTCAAGGAGCTCATGGACACTGGTGGTGTTTGGGTGAACCGCTGATGACACGGTACTGTTGATGTGGATCTTCGACAAAGAAGGCAACTGATTATGAAGATGATGATGGATTCATCATCATCAATCACATCTGAAGATGTCATACAATCAATGGAATCCGGTTCCATCGAGAAAGGTGATAAATTCATCAAATTTGGATCGGCTATGGAGAACAAAGGTTCAACACAGAGAGGAAAGAGCTATTTTTTTTCTGAAACAGTTGATCAAAGATCAAGTGGTACCAGGTAAAGAGAAGAAAAATATAAAAGCTAGAAGGTGATTGGGTGGGAATGATTAGAGCAAAACACAGTGGTTCCTTCTACGGCATCACTTGATTGCTGTTATCAATAAGTAGGATTTAACATTAATTAACATCACAATTAATTGCAGGGCCAGCCCGGCTACGACCTGGACTAAATCTAGATTCTAATACTACTAGTTTGTTAGTCAAGGTTTTGGTGATCACGTTCCCTCTGCATTATCCCAGTGGGGCTGTACCCGTTCAATTCTATCTTTCTACCTGTTGCAACTTTTGAGGCAACCACTGGGATATGATACGTAGATGGGACAGTGTAGGGGGAAGCCATCGGACCACTCGATAACTTTACAAAGGCAATCGAATTGTAGGACGTATTTCACACGGTGCCTAGATTAGATTATGCATAATGTCATGGGGGCTAGAATTTCAATTAGTAGATCAGTGCCACTTATACGCTTTCTCTTGTTGAAGTGACACCAAAGTCAATCTTAATCGTGTCTAAGTGAGAAATCAACTCATTAAGTGACTATCAAACCCATCAAAGGTTAACACAGGAAGCTAACACACTGAGGCTCTTCAAAACCAACAGATTAAACAACTCTTATGAAAAACAAACACTGTCGTCATCAGATAAAGACGTTACAGACAAAAGAAAACAATGCTTGAAAAAACTAAGTGTAGGAAACAAAAGAAAACAAAGGGAAACACTGTCCCTCAAAAGTAAGCTAGGAAGCTTCGAAAACAAAAGAAACCAAGTAACTAAGTTACAAAAAACAAAGCGACAATAGATAAACTTAGAGTAAATGTTTGAAGAAAATGAATTAATTGAATGATTACAAATGAGGAGGGGAGGTTCCTATTTATAGTTGAACTCTTTTAGATCTAAAGTTCTAGATTGAATTACATCAATGACCTAGATTGAAATAAAATCATATAAGAATCTTATATAAAAAATTCAAATTCAAACCAAACATCTCTCATCAATTTAAGTATTTATCTCCTAAATGACGAGATAATTATTCCTTTTAGAAACTTCCAAGGAACAGGCTAGGCCTGATGGTCCTAAGTAGGCTCGATACTTTGTATGACTCTTTACGGATATCCGTACACACTTGTCTCGATTCGAACTCCACGAGCCTTGACAATTACTCCCATTGAATCTTGTAACTCCCTCGTCACTTTTGTTTTAGATGCTCTCAGACTTAATCTTTCACTGAACTAGTATTCTCCAAGATTTGGGTCAAATTAGCTTACCCTATCAAACTCAAGCCTGAGCAGAGAACCTTTTTTACAGGTTCTTGGGCACAAGTCATGGACCCAAATCCACGGACCGTGACAATAGCAATACGAGACATGTAGTGTTGAGTTTTAGAAAGACATCGTGTCTTCCATGTTTTTCAAAGACAATCATTTTCATATCACTTTCTAAAAGCATCAAATAATTCAATCAATTTTTATACGCTACATAAGTTAATTTTTTTCAAACCAATTTATCTCAATAATTTATTTTGATGAACATATCTATTTGTATTGTATGCATTTATGCTAGGGATCCTCCCTAATAGTTTAGCCCAGAGTATACTTTGGGCTTAACCGAAAGAAAAAAGAAATTTATGTGCAATCAAACCCATCAAAAGCCTAGCTAGACTCAAACACACAAAAAATAATAGTAGTAGGAGTTAATTATATGTTTCTAAACTATGACTTCATTCACTAAATTTTTGGGTGTTTCAAACTATGCTCTCATTCTAAACCAGTCCTTAAACTTTTAAATATTCTATTTTCATCCCCAAATTATGACCCTTTTCTAAATCAATCCTTAAACTTTTAAATATTC